GTTCTTTTTCAAAATTATTCTTAGATGAGTCTAGGTCTTTTGCATGTGCATTGTAAGTTTTAGAATCAGTTTATCAATTTCTACAAAGCTTGCTGAGATTTTGACTAGGATTGCAATAAATCTATGGAACAATTTGGGAAGAACTGGGGTCTTAACAATATTGAATCTTCCCATTCATGAACACAGTACCCCCTCCATTAACTTAGATCTTTATTTCAGCAATATTTTGTCATTTTCAGTGAACAAGTTTTGCATATCTTTTATCAAATTTACCCAATTTCAGATATTTTTGATGCTCTTATAAATGGTATTTTTTCTATTTCAGTCCACTAATAGTATATAGAAATACAGTTGACTTTTGTATATTGGTTTGGATCCTGTGACCTAGCTAAACTCACTTGTTAGATCTAGTAGCCCTTTTGTAGATGTCTTAGAATTTTTTTTTTTTTTTTAAAGATTTTATTTATTTGACAAAGAGAGACACAGCAAGAGAGGAAACACAAGCAGCGGGAGCAGGAGAGGGAGAAGCAGGCTCCTGGCTGAGCAGGAAGCCTGATACGGGGCTCGATCCCAGGACCCTGGGATCATGACATGAGCCAAAGGCAGATGCTTAACAACTGAGCCACCCAGGCGCCCCAATGTCTTAGAATTTTCTACAATCATACAGAAACATGGCCAATCTGTGATGCTTATGCGGAACTGTTTAATAACACCTCTTAAAAGAGGTTTTTAAGAATTAGTTGAAAGATTCATTCACCATAGTATGACATCAATGAGTGGAGCTTATTTACTCAGTATGGCTGTCTGCAAATAAAGACAGTTTTACTTCTTTCTTTGTAATCTTATTTTTAAATTGCCTAATGCACTGAATGGGACCTCCAACACACTGTTGAACAGAAGTGACAAGAACAGACATCCTTGCCACTTCTGATCTTAGGGGACTATCACTCATTCTTTCACCATTAAGATGTTCCTATAGGTTTTTCACAGATGTCCATCATCAGGCTGAATAAGCTCCATTCTATTACTAATTTGTTGAGAGTTTTTATCATAACTGGATATTTAATTTTGTCAAATACTTTTTCTGTATTTATTAATATGAACATACCAATCTCCTTTTTCGTTCTGTTAATATGAAGAATTGCACTGATTGATTTCTAAATGTTTAATCAATCTTGCAGTCCTGGTTATAAAACCCATTTGGTGATAACGTACTACCCATTTGCTATATTGTTGGATTTGAGTTGCTAAAAATTTAAGCAAATTTAATTTTTATATCTATGTTCGCGAGGGGCATTGATCTGTAGTTTTATTTTCTTGTAATGTTTTCATCAGGTTTTGGTATAAGGGTCATGGAATGAGTTGGGATGTGTTTCCTTCTCTATTTTCTGAAATAGGTTGTATAGAGTTGGCACTATTTCTTTCTTAAATATATGATAGAATTTACCAGTAAATCCATCTTGAGACCTTGAATCTGCCTTGTGGAAGGTTTTTAATGACAAATTTAAAAGATTTTATTTATTTATTTATTTATTTATTTATTAGAGAGCAAGCGAGAGAGAAACAGCCTGAGAGGGGAAAGGGTCAGAGGGAGAAGCAGGCTCCCTGCTGAGCAGGGAGCCCGATGCGGGACTCGATCCCAGGATTCCGGGATCACGACCTGAGCCGAAGGCCGTCGCTTAACCAACTGAGCCACCCAGGCACCCTTAATGACAAATTTAAATACCTTAATAAACATAAAGCTATTCAAGTTATTTGAGTAAGTATAGGTAGTTTGTATCTTTCAAGAAATTTATTTGATCTAAATTGTGGAATGTGACATAAAATTATTCATAATATTCTCTTATTTTTTTTAATGTCTGTAGGATCTATAATGATGTTCTCTCTTTCCTATATTGGTAATTTCGTCTTTTTTCTTGATCACCCTGGCTTGAGGTTCATTAATGTCATTGGTTTTGTTTTTCCCCTCAAAGAACCAGCTTTTTGTTTCATTGATTTTTCTCTATTGTTTCTCTTTTCTACTTCACTGACTTCTTTCTTTACCATTTTTCTTTGCTTACTTTTAGTTCCACTTGCTCTTCTTTTTAGTTTCAAATGGAAACTTAGGTCTTTGAGATCTTTTCTAATTGAACTGTTTAACACTGAATTACTGTTTAAGAACTTCCTTAGCTGTATCCCACCCACCTCCTTGGGTTTTTATGTGGATTTAACAAAATATGTATAGTCAGGAACGAAATATTTAACTGCCTAGTCCATGTCCGGCATTATGGTTGGTATTAGGAATACACTGCATTAAAATAAATCTAATCCCTTCTCTCATCAAGATTAGAAGGTAATATTGAAAAAATTCTTGATACTTAGAAAGTACATTAAGCCAGAATGCATAACTGTTTTATTCTAATGATAAATGTATTTTCTGTTTTTGTCTCTCTACTCATGAACTAGCGAACATTAAGTCACTAGATTTTTTTTTTTTTTTAAGTTCAGCGACTTGTAATTCCAATTGCACCACGTGAATCTATTGTGGAGTAAGAGCAAATATTCTATTTGTAAATGTCTGAATAAACTACACATTTCAATACACTAAAGGTAAATAAGTATTTCTGTAATTCTAAACTTGAAAACCACCTTTAGATCTACAAAAAAACCCGCAAAAAACAAGCATTCCATACATTTCTAATACTTTCCTAACAAAATTTTTCTTAAAGTTAACAAAACACTCTACTCATACTGTCTATCCTATCCTGTTTCAAATTACCCAAAACTTAAAAAAAAAAAATACCCAGAACTTTTCACAAAATACTCTGCCCTGCCCACAACTGAATATAAATCATGGTAAATCACTGGTTTCAAGGTCTTTTAAATGCTGACCTAGCCTAGCAAATATTCCTGTTTTCAAAAACACAGCCAGTGTGTTAAACATCTCAGTATAATTAATTCAGATAATTGTAGATATAGATATTTAATATACATTTAAATCTTTGTTCATTCAGTGGAACCATAAGCAGCTCTGCACACCTCCACCATGTCAGGTAACCTGGCTCATCTTCTTCCAGTCCTAATCTCTCGGTCTTTATTTAGGCCACAGGTTCTCAACCTTGATTGCACATTGGAATCACCTGGGAGCCTGAAAGTACTGATACTAGCCAGGGTCCCACAGCCAGAGATGCTTAAGAGTTTTTAAAAGTAGGGATTTTCAAAAGCACCCCCCCTTCTTGTGATTCAGTGGTGCAGACCGGGGGTAAGAAGGACCAGTCTAGGTTCTCTCCAGGAAGTGATGCTTCTAATAGCCATTGGCCATTCTGTACCACCATACTTCAAAACCTGGTTCCTCTAGAGCTTTCCCAACCTAACTCCTAATCAAACACTAATTCAGTAATTCCATTTGGATTCCTAGGCTCACCTCTATTTCTATTTAGAAATTTACAGTATAAAATGTAAGTCTCTATTTTAGCCATTCCTCTCCAGCCCACTTCTAAGAAATTTCATAAAGTTCAGCTGAAGAGAAATTAACTGAATATAATGTGATGATCTCGTTAAATAGTTTGTTTTCTTCTACTTAAAAGATAGTTCGGGGCACCTGGATGGCTCAGATGGTTAAGTGTCTGCCTTCGGCTCAGGTCATGATCCCGGGGTCCTAGGATCAAGCCCCACATAGGGCTCCTGGCTCGGCGGGAAGTCTGCTTCTCCCTCTCCCTCTCTCCCTGCTCATGCTCTCTATCTCTGTGTCTCAAATGAATAAATAAAAAATCTTAAAACAAAAAAAAAGGTTCTACAAGCCATCTGTAATTTTACAGACTATATGGTAAAATTACCAGTTCCTCAAAGTATAAAATATTGAAATGAGTCTTCATTGGTATCCATCTGATTCTACCACTTGTTAATTTCAAACAGGTTTTCAATACAGATTCACATTCTGGTCTCAAAACTGACATCCTCTGAACTTAAACCATTAAAGTCCTGAGAGTCTTCAAATAGCTTACTCCGCTTTGCCAAACCAGACCACTTCATTATAATTATCATTTCATCATGTAAAAGTGGGAAGGAGAACACCTGTATCACAAAGACAGTACCGGGAATAAGAAGCAAAAGCATTTTAGCACTGAGTAGAGTGCTAATAGAAATTTTAATTTATTTGCAGCAGAAATGTTGTCTCATGGGAACTATGTGAAAAGTAGAGGCAAGCAGGAAGTTGCGGGTAACTACTTGTCAATACGCAGAAACACCAGCAGATGAGATGGGGAGAACGGGGGGGGGGGGTGGTCCACAAACTACCTGAGTTCTCAAAGCTCCCAGACCAATAGCAGCAGAAACGCGCATGCAAGCCTCGCACCTCTCAGGTTGTGACAGAACTACCGAAGTTACTTACAAACACATATAAACCTCATCTCCTTGGAAAACTGCTAAACAATAAAACTGCCAACGTGCAGACCCAGGAACTCAGATCCCTGCCAGTGTAGGCTATGTACCCATGGGATGTAATGGATTTGCATGCTGAAACACGTGTGCACGTCTGAGCAGCTGAACCAACACGTATCCATAAACATTATGAATAATACTTGCGAGAATGTATGGCTTTCTCCTAGGAAGCGCTTTAAGTACTTTACCCAGATCAAGTCACTTTCATATCACATCTTACTCGCCTTTCCTTTGTACTACCCGCGTGCGGAGAGTTCGGGCGCCTTATCCAAAGTCTGAGCCCAGGAGGCGGGGGGGGGGTGTCACTGCCCTCGCCCTGACTTCCCGTTAGCCCAAGCTGCCATCCCAAAAGGGGACCGTGTCCGGGCTGGCTTCCTGGAGACACAAATGAGCCCTCACACACCCACCGCGGTCGCGTCACCAGCGCCGCGGCCACCTGGGCGAGGACCAAACTCTGGAGGGAATTCCCTCCGCCGCAGAGCTCGGCAACGGAATGGGAAAGCGGGACCCAGGCGAGATTTGAAAAGTGGAGGGGGTAAAGAGTCAAGTGGACACAACCGGGAGGGATCACAGCTACTCACCCAGCCCTCGAAAGTGTCCGAGGCGCCGGCCGTGCGCAGCAGCTCCTGAAATTGCAGGGTGCAGTTGGCCACGAAGTGGTCATAGCCCAGGGGCGTCTCGTGGAAGACGGCCAGTTCGAGGTGGCCACCGTCGGTGACGTTGGTGCAGAACTCCTCATTGTACGTGGGTTTGTTGGTCTTCTGTTTGGTGCTGGTCTGGCCCACGCGCACCTGGTCCACGCTCACCGTCAGGTAGGGGTCCAGCAGCTGGTAGCCCTTCTTGAAGAGCGAGTGGCGCAGGGACCAGCGGGTGGGCTGCAGCCCCACAGCCTCGCCAATGCGGACCCTCAAGTAACCATTGAACTTCATGGTGCCGGACGTCATGCCGGCGCCGCTGCCCGGGCCCCGGGGGGCCGCGCTGGCTCGCAGCGGGAGAGCCTGGAGCCCCAGCTCAAGCCAGCCCTCGCGGCAGCCGCAGGAGTGGAAGCAGCTTCTGGGAAAAGCAGCGCCCAAGCCCCCCTCGACTGGTCATTCTGCCTCCTCCGCGGAACCTTCCCCTCCCCTCCTTCCCTCGCCCCCTCCCTCGCGAGGTGGAAAGGAGGGGAGCCCGGAGCCGAGCCCTCCGCGAGCCGGGGTAGCCCGACCGTCCCTCTCCAGCACGCGGCCCTTCCCCGGGGCTCTCAAAAGACTCGCCCCTTCTCCAGAGCCGGGAAGCTCCTCTCCCTGGAGAGCCGGAGCGACCCGTCCGGTTAGCTCCAGCCCCAAGCGTCTCTTGCCCCCGCCTCCTCCTGCTTCTGCTCCTGCCCCCGCCTCCGCGGGCTCACGCTCTCCCCCACTCGGCGAGCTTCAAACCAGGAAGCAGCTACCGCCGCATCACCGATAGGAGCCTCGCGCCGCCAGGCTCCAAGTTCACAGAAGCCCTGCGCCGGGTCCCGCGCCTTCCGAACCCCGGGGGCGTGGCGCACAGCCGACGGAGCTGTGGGTCGGTGGCCCGGCGCGCGCATCCGGGGAGCCCCACGCCAGCCCGCTGGCCCCGCTCTGCGCGCTCGCCCTGTCGCGCGGGGTCGGGCTGTGCTCCGTGGGCTAGAGGCTCCCCCAGGTGCAGGCCAAAAAGGGAAGGGCTCGTGGCCCGGCGTGAGCCAACACCTGAGGCCTGGGAGACAGGTCCAGAGAGTGCCGGGGGGCGGAAGGAGAAGGTGGGGGCAGGAGCTGGGAACCCGCGCTCCAGGAGTCGCCGGCACCCTCCTTACCACCGGAGGAGTTGGGCTGGCGAGCCTGCCTGGCGGTCTAGGAGAGGCCCTGGCCTGAGCGGGCGCATGGCGGGGAGGTTCCTTTTCCTAATCTTTACAGGGATGGCCCATCCCGGGTTCAGCTCAGGCCCATCCTGTTTGTGCGCCTTTCCTGCAGAGAGTAATTACACGGTTGTTTTTTTGTTGTTGTTGTTTTTAATAGGGTGGTAGTAATGATGGAAATCCTGTCCTCCTTCCTCAGAGAGGTGTGTCTTGTTGCACAAAGAGCCGGAAAGATCGGTTCTGAAGACAGACATGGCTGAGATGTACTAAGTCTCTCCGCGGGGTGGTTCCTGGTCTATCAAGCCCTGCCTAGCAAGGGCAGAAGACGTTCACACACAAACACCGTCCCTGACACATGTGTGCAGAAGAAACCGCCTCTTCGAGGAACATTCTAGCTTGTTGCTGTGTTTGCAGGCAGAGTGGGCAGCCTTTTGTTCCTTCCCACCCGTGGGTCCAGGAGTTTTGGGGCCCTTGGGTGAACCGTTCCATCTACTGTGCTTTACCACAAAGCTTGCTCCTTGAGGGCCAGCCACAACCAGTTTGTCTCCCATAAAGCCTAGGCCATTTTTAAGATAAATTACATTCCGTTTGGCTGTTCTGGTTTCCCTGAGAGCTGGTCGGGTCTTCCTAGCCCCCTCCACCCAAGGCCCTGTTTGGGGCTCCTGCACTGAGTAGCTTCTCAACAATTTCACTCCTGTGAAAGGAGGCACACTAGAGAATGAAAACAAATAAGAACAATGGGCCGGTGGGGGAGGGCCTGTCTTAAAAACATCAAAACTTCTTTTAAGAGAACAAGGCAGGGATGCAGCACATCATCCTAATGACACTTTAGCTTTAGGCAGGGCTTGTAAAGCAAGCTACCAGACATCCAGGGAGCTCCCATCTGGCCCGGTGCTCCAGGGGAAGAGGTCAAGAGGACCAATTGGGTCAACTCTGTCACCCTTTCCTCCAAAGAGCAGGCCTCTAGCTTTAAGAACCACTGAAAGATTGGCTGCTGTTGGACTTTGGCACTAAAAAAAGACAGTCCCCAAATGGTGGGCAGCTACACATCCTGGGGGGTTGGGATGTGAGGGACACTAGGAGCAGGACAGCGGTGGTGCCTGCCCTCCTGGGGCATAAGTCCCACAGCAAGGAAAATCAAAGTATAGATCACACACTTGGGCTGTGCGGTGAAGGAAAGGCTCAAGTGCAGTGGGACAATGGAACCTGGAGGGGGTGGTCAGGGAAGGGTCCCCTGAAGAAGTACACAGCAAAAGGATCCGTTTATTCAGGGTTCCCAAGAAAAGGGAGAGTTTGACCTGTTTCAGGAACAGGAAAGACTCCATGTGGCTGGAGCCCAAAAAAAAGGGGAGGGGAAAGTGGCTGAAATTCACCTGACAAGGTAGCTCAGGGTCCAAGACTGACTAGACTGGTAGGTCATGGGAAAGTCTTTGGACATGGTCTGTGGGCAGTTGGAAGCCCCCGAAAGTTAAGCAGGGACAGGGACAGGATGAGATTTGTCTTTTAAAATCTCTTTCTGGGGGGTGCACCTGGCTGGCTCAGTGGGAAGAGTGTGAGACTCTCGATCTCAGGGTCACGAGTTTGAGCCCCACTTTGGGTGTAGGGATTACTTAAATAAACCAACAAACTTCAAAAAAAAAAAAAAAAGTCTCTCTTCGGGGCCATGTGAAGAGTGGATTGGAAGGAGCAAGCATGGGTGTGGGAAGACCAGTCAGCAGGCAGATGCCAAAGTCCAAAGAGAGAAGATGGTGACCAGGACTGAGGTGGTGGTGATGGAGATGGATGTGAGAAATGTTTAGGAGGTAGAACACTCAGGCCTGGGTGTTGGACTGAATGGAAGGAATGAGGAAGAGGAAAGGATCAGGGTGACTTGCAGGCATCCAGCTTAAGCAACTGTGTGGATTGGGGAGCCCTTGGTGATTAGGAACCACTAGAGAAGGAGCAGATTTGTGGAGGGAGATGAACAGTTCAGTTTGAAATATATGAGTTTTGGTATCTCTTGATACCTCTGAGTTGCACCCTGAGGTGGGCACTCAGCTATGTGCTTGTGACGCTCAGAAGTGCAGTCTGAGCTAAAGACATGAAGTGAGGGGCCACTGGTATATAGATAGCAACTAAAGCCAGAATAGTGGATGACATTGTGACTGTGGAGAAAAGAGGGGAATAGAGTGTAGCATGAGGAAAGAAGGGGCCTTAGGATAGAGCCTTCCAGAAACCCCAACATGGATAGGTGGAAGAGAGGCGGGCAAGGGGGTTCCGAAGCAGCAGCAGAGGCATAAGAGAAAACCCAGGAGGACACAGTACCCAGGTATTATGAAAACCAACCAAAGGGTTTTCAAACAACAAGTAATTGTTCAGCTAGGCCAAATGACACTAAGAGGTTGAGTACACAAGGACTAAAGGCAGCCATGAAGAGATGGCAATGGGCATCCTTAGTAACCTTGGAGCCATTTCTGTACAGGGATGGGGGCTGAAGCCTGTTTGGAGTAGCTTGAGGTGAAAAATAAGGAAGTGGAGAGAGTAAGTGCAGACACTTGTTCAAGAGGTTGGGCTGGAATGAGGATGAGAGAGCTGAGGAGGAAGATGGGACCACTGGGTGGAGGGCTATTTATTAAGCAGAAGCAACACAAGAGAGGAGAGAAATCGTACAGTCCTGAGACTGCAGGTGGGAATGCCATCTGAGACCCAGGGGGAGAAATGGCACTTAGTTTAGGACACACATCTATGTTTGTGGCTTTCAGCCTGCTGTCCAAAGTTGCCGTTCTACAGTCAGGAGGCACGGTGACCAGCAGCCCCAACTGCCCAGATTTCCAGCTTCACAGCCCCAGTGGAAAGAGGATTTTCTCGACCCACCTCCTTAAATCAACCTGGGGGAGCCCCTGAATGTCCCCAGCCTATGTCATGTGCCCTTTGGTGGCTCTTAGAGGAGACACCAGACAAATAGTACACAGTCCACGTACAGAGCCCCTGTGGGAAGGGACTGTCTGCTATTACAAACCTCACCTGTGTCACAGCTTCTATCTGGAGCTGGTCCTGACTTTCAAGGAAGGCAGGGGATAAGAAGTCCCCTCTCTATATACATCCCAGCCCCCTAACAGCATGTAATGTAATGTAGTAATTTGCATATTTGTACTGACTGCTTTAAACTCGGTGTTATAGGTCCTTTTATACACTAGAGGTTTGTTTGGTTGTTTTTTTTCTTTATGGCTATTACTATTTATTTTGTCAGTCACACTATCTTTGGACTTCTTGTATATAATTGCTAGCACATTATCTAAATGCTTGTTTGATTGATTGCTTGATTGACTGAATTACTGCCATTTGTCTAATTTCTTAAGGAACATTTCCCACAACCTCCATTCCACTTTAAAACAGAACTAGAGAATTTAGAGAATAAAACAGCTAGGTCAAAAACTACCCCATGCTATTATGAAATGGCATAACCTCTGGAGGGCAGTTTGAATCAAAAGCTTCAAACAGGGGCATCTGGGTGGCTCAATCAGTTAAGCATCTGCCTTCAGCTCAGGTCATGATCTCAGGGTCCTGGGATGGAGCCCGGCATCCGGGTCCCTGCTAAGAGGGGAGTCTGCTTCTCCCTCTCCCACTCCCCCTGCTTGTGCTCTCTCTCTCTTCCTCTCTCTGTCAAATAAATAAATTAAATCTTTAAAAAAAAAAAAGCTTCAAACAAACCAGTTCTTTGCCTAAGGAGGTCCGGCAATAATAGAATGACTAAATTATAGAATAGCAACCTAATGGAATAGTTATTAAAATGACACATGATAAACAACATAGAAAAAATAGTAAATATTTTTAAATGTAGAGTAAGAAATATAAGTATGCTATGAAGTACCTAAAATATGTAAACCAAAAGATAAAGAAAACAACACAAGTAAATGAAAACGGCTCTTAGTGTTGGACTCACAAACGAATAATAAACGTACTTATCTAAAAGGGCTCTGAAGATAAATTCACATGAAGTATTTGATACATTGCCAAGCACGTTACATTTCGACTGTTACCTTGGCTGTCATACTATCATTTATTGAGCATTCACCAGCACTGTAACAAGCCACTTGACAAACATTATTTCATTTGATCCTCATGACAACCATATGAGGTGTTATTATCTCTATTTTACAGATAAGGAAACCGAGCACCAGAAAGGTTAAATGAATTGGAGCATAGTTCATACATGGTAGAGCTGAGATTTGACTCATTTATTTCAATGCATGCCTAGGGCGCCTGGGTGGCTCAGTCAGTTAAGTGTTGTCTTGATTTCGGCTCAGGTCATGATCTCAGGGTCGTGAGATCGAGCTCTGCCTTGGGCTGCATGCTGGGCATGGAACCTGCTTGAGATTCTCTCTCTCCCTCTCTCTCTGCCCCTCCCCTCAACCCCATCCCTGCTCGCACACATGGCGCTCTAAATAAATAAATAAGTGCCTAAACCCCATCCTGGAGTGGTTGTAATGCACAGCTAGATTGAAAACT